ATTTCCATTTATTCATTGTTGCACATTTCTCTCCCTACCCCCCTCAAGTTCCCTATTCTCTTTAAAAAGATTCTTTCATTGTTGCACAATTTCCGCCCTCCCTCTACCCCCAGTCCACTTTCCTATGCACCTCTTATTCTCAAATGTTGTCATTCAAATGTTCATTATTTATCCCCTCTTTTCTTAGTTTCCCCCCAAACCCTCAAGTCAGTCCTGTTTCATAAGAGTGACATTATGCAGTATTTGTCCTTTATGACTGAGATATTTCACTCAGCATAATATCCCTCAGGATGACCCATCTTGTACATGCTCAAATACTTTCATAAAGTGTGCATGATCAGAAGAAGCACCAGATAGCACAAACAGCTAAGTGTTCAATTCTAACCAGAAGATTGGCAGTTTGAATCCCCTCAAAAGTACCTTAGTGAAAGGTCTGATGATTACTCCAGAAAAATTAACTATTGAAAACTGTGTGGAGCACATTTTTCTTCTCCCACACACGAGGTCTCCATGACTTGAAATTGCCTTCACAATAACCGTTTCCATAAGTTTGTTTGCCTTTTACAATAAAAAAGTTTGGTGTCATAATTTCTTAATATATTCAATTGTGGTTGGATATTTGGACTGTTTCCCTGTTCTTGTGATGGTGAATAATGCTACTTGGAACATTGGTATACAAGTCTCCATTTGTGCATCAGTTCTCAGTTTTTAAGGTTATATTCCAAGCAGTTGAATAACTGAGTCATATGGAATTTCTATGTTTAGCTTTCTGAGGAAATGCCAAACTCCCTTCCAGAATGGTTGTACCAATTTATAACCCCACCAACAGTGTATAGGAGTTCCTATTTCTCCACATTCTCTCCAACATTTATTACTTGCTGTCCTGTTAAACTTTGTCATTGCTACTGGGGTGAGATGGTACATTCACATGATGGAATACTACGCAACACGCAGGAACGAGGATTTTGTAAATCACTACTTAACTTGGGAGGGATTGGAGAACATTATGCTAAGTGGTCTCAGTCCCATAAAAAAAATACTGTATAGGACCATTTTTGTAGAAATAGATAACTAGTAAAACATGTATGAAGATCCAAGGGGGGAAGAAGGGGAGCACAGCAGTGAGGATGGGTGGGGGACATAATTATAGGGTCACACAATTTGATGGGTGGGTTAAGGAAATAGGAAATATCCAGTGTCAAAAACGATGTATATGAACTTTGTAAGTAAACTAAACTAAAATAACATTAAAACGTTTATATTAAAAAACAGAAACAAATACCCTAGAGGAGAGGACAGCTTTTGGAAAGAAGGGGCAACAGAAAAAAAGTTTGATGCCTTCTGAGAAAAGGATTACACAAGGGAAAGTAGATCTGGAAATATGAAGAATTTATGGTGCCACTGAGTTTTCAGGCAGTAATGTCCAGTGTGCAGTAAGTGTTTAGATCATGTAGGACTGTCCAACAGAATTTAATGTAATGGTGGAAATATTCTGCATAGATACTATCCAATAGCAACATCTGGCTGATGATATAATTGAGGTGTGCCTGATGTCTCTGAGGAATTGAGAATTTTCATTTTGCTTTATTTCAATTTCTTGATATTAAGTAGCCACATGCTGCAGATGGCGTACAGGTCTAAACCTTAAAAGAGAGAGAAAGATCCCATTTATTGAATTCTTCCACCAGTTAAGCATCTTGAATGCATTGTTAAGCAATTCAATTATCCACGGTATCCAATGGACTTGGTAGGTGCCACGGAGTCAATTTTTGATTAATAGAGTCCCCACGTGATAGAGTAGAATTGCCATATAGGAATTTGTAAGGGAAAAGATTGTCATATCTTTCTGCTACTGATGGTGGGACAAATTTAAGCCATTTAGCAGCCGTGTACATAATCATTTTGCCAGCAGGGTTCCTTCCCTCCAAAGTCACCTGCTCACTTCACTGCCTCTGCCTCGATTCCTATTCATAGCCACCTTCCATTGAGTTTCTTAGGCTGTAAATTGTAATGGTAGGAGATTGCTCGTCTTTCTCCCTTGAAGCCACTGGTGCATTCATGAGAAGAACATCCAGAGATGTTCTGTCTTTGAGCTAGCAGTTTCACAACATCACTCACCACAGCCTACACCAGCAGAGTTCCTCTCTCTATGGGAGACAGAGTAGCGTTTATTCTTTCCTTTTCACAATAAAAATTGACATTGAAAGAAAATGAATTTATAGTAAAATAGATGTACTTTCTAGGTATTTTCTATTAAGATACTTGGGCTTCTTGTGCAACACAGTAATTTTTATCTTTTTCTTTCAGGTGGTTTGCTCTGTTGGAGATTCATACATTAATTATTTTAATACTTTATAAATATGACTGTAGTCTCCTGGACCCAATACCAAAACAGGTAAGTGCTTTCAGAATTTTAAACCTCATTTTGATTTTCAAATTTGATATATGTTCTAAATCCTTGGTTTACGTTACTAGGGAGAAGTTGACTGAGCCTCACTTAAGTCTGACTTAACAGGTGCTTTAGACTGAACTCAGCTGGGAAGATACTGTATCTGCAGATTTTCAGAGGTGGTTAATTTCACAGGAAGAGATTTCCCTTCTTTCTCGCTCGTAAAACAAAACCAAACTTGTGGATTCAAACTGTTTACCTTTAGCTTACAGTGCAATTCCATACCACTAAGGCAGCAAAGCTGCATGCATGAGAAGATAGTGAGTACTTCTTAATTTAAAGAACTAGTCTGCAATTGAGTGTTAATTGAAAGACTGGGCATTCAAAGAGCTGAACTGCATCATGGGAGTAAAATACACAACAATCTGCTTCCTTCCATTAAGACAGCAGCCTAGAGTCTCTACTCTGCCTTACAGAGTCACTGTGAGTTGGAGTTGATTCAACAGTGGTGAACTTACCACCTGGTCAGTATCTAGTAACTGTGTCATTTTCTCTCACTGAGGGTCTTCCTCTCTTTCATTGACCCCTTCACTTTGCAAGCATGATGTCTTATTCCAAGGACTGGCCCCTCCTGACAACATGTCCAAAATATATGAGACACTATGTATGGGGATAAAGAAAACTTTTGGGTGACATTTCAGTAGCAATTCTTTAAGAACAAAGTGAAACAGAAAGTATTATATTATAAATACTCCAATTTCGGCACTTTTCCTTGAATGTCATACACTCTTGTATTTTGAGTACAAGACATTTTATGTCATGATGAGCTCTTAGAATCCTACAATAAAGAAGAAATCCACCACAACAAGATAAAGGTAAATAACCCAACTGAAAAATGGGCACAGGATATGAACAGATACTTCACCAAAGAAAACATTCAGATGGCAAACAAACACATGAAGTAATGTTCAAAATCCCTAGCTCTAAGAGAGATGCAAATCAAAACAACTATGAGATACCATCTCACCCCAGTAAGGATAGCAAAATTTAACAGAGCAGCAAACATCAAATGCTGGTGAGGTGGTGGAGAAACTGGAACCCTTATTCACTGTTGGTGGAAGTGTAAAATGGTGCATCCACTATGGAAGACTGTACAGTGATTTCTCAAAAAGTTCCAAATAGAAATACCATTTGAAACAGCAATTCCACTGCTGTTACATTATCCTAAAGAAACCCTAACTGCCACCCAAGTAGGTATATGCACACCCATGTTTATTGTGGCTTTGTTCACAAAAGCAAAGAGCTAGAAACAACCCAAGTTACCATCAACAACAAATGGATAGAGCAGCTCTGGTGTAGTCACACAATGGAATAGTATGTTGTTGTTGTTGTTGTTGTTGTTGTTGTTGTTGTTGTTATGTGCCGTCGAGTCGTTTCCGACTCATAGCGACCCTATGCACAACAGCCCTAAATCCTGCTCTATCCTGCGCCAACCGCACCGCCTCTGACACACCCATCCCGATTACCCCAGTCACCGAATCAATCCATCTCATAGAGGGTCTTCCCCTCCTACGCTGTCCCTCCACCCTCCCAAGCATGATGTCCCTCTCCAAGGACCCGTCCCTCCTGGCAACATGTCCAAAGTATGTCAGACGAAGCCCCAGAATCCTTGCCTCCAAGGAGTAGCTTGGTTTAATCCTCTCCAAGATGAATCTGTTTGTTTTCCTGGCAGTCCATGGTACATTCAGTACCCTTCTCCAGCACCACAGCTCAAAAGCATCCACTCTCCTCCTGTCCTCCCTAGTCATTGTCCAACTCTCTGATGCATAACAAGCGATTGCAAATACCATGGCCTGTATCAGGCGCACCTTAGTCTCCAGAGAGACACTGTTGCTCCTGAGTACTTTAGAGAGGTCCCTAACGGCAGACTTTCCCATCGCGATACGCTTTTTGATTTCCTGACTGCTGGTGCCAAGAGTGTTGACTGTGGAGCCGAGCAAACTGAAGCTGTGAACAATCTCAATCTCTTTGTCATCCATCCTGATGCTGCCAATTGGTCCAGTGGCGAGAATCTTTGTCTTCTTGACATTGAGCCTTAGTCCATACTGAAGGCTACAGTCCTTGACCCTTCGCAGCAAGTGCATGAGGTCCTCCTCAGTTTCAGCAAGCAGGGTTGTGTCATCTGCATAATGGAGATTGTTAATAGATCTTCCACCAATCCTGATGCCACAGTTCTCCTCATAGAGCCCACCCTCTCGGATAATCTGCTCTGCATACATGTTGAAAAGGTATGGAGACAGGATGCATCCCTGGCGTACACCCTTCTCAATTTTGAACCATGCAGTGTTACCCTGCTCTGTTCTGACTACTGCCTCTTGGTCCAAGTATAGGTTTCGTATTAGCACAATTAAATGTTCTGGGATTCCCATTCTTCTCAGAGTCAGCCACAGTTTGTTATGATCCACACAGTCAAATGCCTTTGCATAATCAATGAAACACAGATTGGCATTCTTCTGGTATTCTCTGCTTTCAGCCAAGATCCATCTAACATCAGCAACAATATCCCTAGGACCACGACCCCTTCTAAACCCAGCCTGGACTTCCGGCAGTTCTCTGCTGATGTGCTGTTCTAATCGTTTTTGGATGATCTTCAGTAGAATCTTGCTTGCATGTGAAATCAATGACACTGTTCTGTAGTTTCCACGCTCAGATGGGTCACCTTTCTTTGGAATGGGAATAAATATAGTATGCAGTACTGAAAAACAAGAAGTCATGAAATATGCAAAATGGATGACCCTGGAGGACATTATGCTGAGAGAAATATCTCAGTCACAAAAGGACAAATATTGCATAGGGCCACTGTTGTGAAACGGAACTGATATTGGGGTTGAGGGATGACAGAGAAGGAGGGGAGGAATAATATATACTGCATTGAGATAGATGAGGGACAGAACTGTTTAAAAGGGATATATGATTGAGTAGTATTGTCATGATAGGAGTCCCGAATGAAGGCTGCACAGTAGAGTGGACTTGGGGGGAGGGATTGCATAACAATAAAAGAGTTTTTCTTTTCAAGGAGAAGAGGTTGGGCAGGGAGAAAAGTGCAACAATGTATAACTGGAAACCTTAAGTCTCTGTAAACTTTCATTAAAATTAATAAGGAAAAAAAAGAAGAGATCAAGGCACTTTTTACAAAGCTTCTCTGTTGCGTAGTTCTGTTGGCAAAATGAAGATGAGGGAAAGCTTTTCAGCCACAGACACTCTGTAGTTTCTGATTCTTCAAGGCAGATGTCACAGGACTGACTCAGCATACTAAGATTGTCTTACCAAAAGTCTTTTCAGATTGAAGGGATGACATTTGTGTATACCATGCAAATCCAAACTTTGGAATAAGTAATTTTGACCAATTCCATAGGAAAGATTTATCCGAGCAGTTTGTTTCTAGCTAAGGATTCTATTACCTCTATTTCTTTTCCTGATTTACATACATGCTATTTTAACCTTGACACTACTGTTAACAACAATAACATCAACCTTGTATGCACATAGATAATATACTATCATTCATAACTTTGTGTTTCAAAATGTTGCTAACGTAATAGAGTGGTATTTTAAAAAATTGTTTAATTTTTAAAGGGATCATGGTATCTGAGAACAACTCACAAAATTCTGTGGCTTTTCTTTGTAGAAAAGTACATGTTGCTGCTGCTGCTGTTGTTACTGTTATTGCTATAACTCGTAGCTAGCCTATGAGCAATAGATCTGAATCCTTCCCTGTCCTGAGCCAACCTCACTGTCTCCGATGCACCGGCCCCCATTGTCACAGTCAATGTGTCAATCCATCTCATCCTGGGTCTTTCTCTCCTGCACTGAAGAATCCAAAAATTGTGGAACTCATCAATGCAAATATCTCTCAACCTCCTAAACTCATGCTTTGTACCTTTTATAGGAAATTACAATTAAAACCTGAGGACTCCAAATGTTGATTCCTATCTCTTAATTTCTACATTTTTTTCTCTATTTCCATTTGTAGAGTTTCCAACATCTGGTGGGTATTCAGCAACCAGAAGGACAATGCCGAATGGAGTATAAACAAAGAAAATGATGTTCACTGGACCAGGGCTGTTAGGAAGAGTAACTGCCAGTCATCCGCTGTCTTCCACTAATCTAGCAGCCGTTGCACTGCAATCTGAGCTTTACCAAAGCATGCCCCTTTGTCTTAGGATTCAGTTCAGTAAAACCTCCTAATTGTATATATGCTTGTTGTCTTAAGTAGACCAACGAACCTGCAATCACCCTCAAAACTAGAGACCTGACTACCTGGGTTGAGGGGAAAATATTTAAATGACCAAAAGCCAAACAAGCAGTTATTTCTATAATAGTTTAGGATTTGATTTTCATGCATAATTGGACTAAAACAATTTACAAAACTAAAACTTTAAATAAAAGTATTACCATTTGAGTAGAACCCTTGGCACGTGAAATTGACTTTGAAAGCCTACTTAAATTTATATACTGAAAAACAACTATCTTAGACTCTAACAATATTAACAATTTAGGTAATTTTCCATTTATTTTAATACAATGCCTAACATTTGGAATTCTTTAGTTTTGTTAATGGGGACTTTTAATTATAAACATGCCTAAGGATGCATTAGTACATGGAATTATCACTTCCTAAATCCTGTGAAGACAGAGATCATGTCTCTGCTTGTTTCTACACTGCTATGCAATAATAAATGTGCATTAAAACTGTGAAGATCCACCTACATGCAAGTTTTTGTGTTGATTTATTTTTTATAAAACTCCAAGTATTGTGTAACACTAATAATTTCTGCTTGCAGATCATTGTTATTGTTGTTGTTGTTTGGCACTGCTGAGCAGGAACTGACTCAGCTGAGCCTCCAGTGGGTTTTCAAAGGCAGTAAATCACACGGGAGGAGATAGCCCAGCTGACTCCCATGGCGTGGTTTGTGGACTTTGAAACAGATACCTTATGGAGTTCATCAGTTCATCCCTGCCATAAGTTTCAAATCACAATGAAAGGTTTAGCTTTTGTGTGTTTTGCGTAATTTGCATGATGTTTAAAGCAATACCAATAACCTTAGAAAATCTATGGGAACCAAGCAAAGTGTGACTAGTGATGAGAGAAACATCATAATATTACAGGAGAAAGTGAACTTGATTGAGGTCTGTAGTTTGGGTTGCCCACCGTATTAAGATAAATGAATCCAGTGTAGAGACCATTACAAAGAAAGAAAGGGAACTTTATAAAGCTGTCGCTGCAGCTCTGCCTACCACCTGCCATTGACCTTCAGTTTGAAAGTCCAACACGTAACACACTATGGTTGTTGGCAGCTACATCAGCAGGCTAGAACGTTTTGCACTTTTTGCAAAATATCTTTTTATCTGGTAATGAAAATGCAGCTCTTATGTGGGTGCAGCGAGTGTATAATGTTGTTGTTATGTGCCGTTGAGTCGCCTGCAACTCATAGCGACCCTGTGTACAACAGCCTTAAACCCTGATCTATCCTAAGCCAAATTTATTGTCTCTGACATACCTACTGCCATTACCCGAGTCACCAAAACAATCCATCTCATCTGGGGTCTTCCTCTCCTGTACTGTCCCTCCACACTCCCAAGCATGATGTCCCTCTCCAAGGACTAGTCCCTCCTTGCAACATACCCACAGGATGTCAAGACAGAGCTTTAGAATCCTTGCCTCTGAGGAGTAGCCTGGTCTCATCCTCTCTAGGGTGAACCTGTTTGTTCTCCTAGCAGTCCATGCTATATTCAATACTCTTCTCCAACACCACAGCTCAAAGGCATCAATTCTCATTCTATCATCTCTAATCATTGTCCAACTTTGTAGTATTTATAATACATAACTAAAACTCTCTACCACTGAGTCATTTCTGAGTCACAATTAACACACACACACACACACACACACACACACACACACACACACACACTGACTTTCCATGGTGGTAAATTGCAACAGGAGGAGATTGCTCATCTTTCTTCAGACCACTAGGGAGGTACAACTGTTTAAGAAAGAGCTATGCCACCAACACTCCCTCTGGTCAATAGTTTTTGTTATGTGCCCCCGAGTCAGAACTCACCCAGAGCTGACTCTCCAGTGAGTTTTCACAGTCTATAAATTGCGTGGGAGAGGATTGGTCATCTTTCTCCCCTAGAACACCATGTGGATTTGAACCTGCTGCTTTTGGTTTGGCAATGCAGCTCCTTTACCACTAGGCCATCAGAGTAGCTCTGGTGAATAGTAGGCAGTTAGCAATTAAGTCATGGGTGATTCAAAAGTTACATGTGGATTTTCAAATACACTGAGAGGGTGTGGGCATCTATGCCCTTTGTCAAAGGTCAACTCAACCTACAGCAGCACGTTCTCTTTAGGAAATAGCAAATCCCTGTGGGCTGATGCTTCCCCAGCCCCCGTCATTTTGTTAGAGGTAATATTTTGCAGATGCATAAAAATAAAAGTGTGGCCCACTTTGCAGACGCCACCACCTCAGTAGCACACTTGTTCGCTCCACTTGCCCCCAGCCACAGTCAATCCCACTGTGTACTTGACTTCGCTGTCAATGGTGAGCCTTTAGGTGACGACACCTTTGAGCAGTTTGCCGATCAAGTCCAAATGACAGTGGAAAACTTCCGTGCTCTGAGTACTGAGGAGAAAGGATTTGGTTACAACGGTTTCTGCTTTCACAGACTCATTCCTGGGTTTATGTGCCAGGGTGGTGACTTCACACGTCATACTGGTGGCAAGTCCATCTACGGGGAGAAGTGTGATGATGAGAACTTCATCCTGAAGCACACAGGCCCTGCCAATTCTGTCCATGGGAAAGTCGGACCCAATACTGATGGTTCCCAGGGTTTTATCTGTACTGCTAAGACTGAATGGTTGGATGGCATGCATGTCGTCTTCAGCAAGGTGAGAGAAGGCATGAACATGTGGAAGCCATGGAGCGCTTCGGATCCAGGAATGGCAAGACCAGCAAGAAGATCACCACTGCTGACAATGTCCACATTGTGGACAACTCTAGTGTGATCTGTAGCTCATGTTTTCTCTTAATCTCCAGGGCCCTTCCTTCTAGTGCTCCAGAGAATCACCCTGCTACCCCGTGTGCTTGCAATAATCTTTGAATCCTTGTGCTCTTGCTACAGTTCTTTGCATTCCATGTTTTCTTTCTTCCCCTCCAAGGTTAACAGGATTGCAGAGTTAAATTTATGACTATGAAATAAAAACTAGACAACAAAAAAGAGAAAGAGAGAAATAGAAGTGTACTGATACATTAAGCCAAAAGCCACATTTGCAGGCAAGAAGCTGTGCTGCAATCCCAAAAATCATGTAGTTTGAGGCCAGTGGCAGCTCCATGAGAGAAGGATGGGCAATGTCCTACCGTGTGATTTACTGCCCCTGAAAACTGGCTGGAGGGTCAGCTATGGGTTGGTTCCAACTCTATGGTACACAAAGACAACAACATAAGAACTGAAGGGGGTCTGGTGGCCTAGTGATAAGGAGTTTTTTTATAGAGTCTCTGCCATCCCAAAGATGTGCGGTTTGCATCTACCAGCTGCTCCACAGATGAAAAATGGACAATCTCCTCATTTGTGATTATACTGCCTCTGAGAACCCACTGGGTAGTCAGCTATGACTTGATTCCTACTCAACAACTTAACAACTTAAGAACTTGAAGACTGAAATAATGATCCTGTCATACAGAAAAGAAATCCCATCATGTTGAAGGGGAATATATGACTAGAAACTGTGAATAAGGATGTCACGATTTGTCCTGCAACACCCAACGCTGTGCCACTTGCCCCTTTTAAGTCACAATCAGTGAGTCCTGCGGGGCACGTGGTTGTCTGTGGCGTGTTTGCTCCCTTGTGCTCAATTACCCTATGGGGCTGATAATCATTGCTTAGTCATCTATTTCGTACCATAAAGTAGGTGACTCTCTAGGAGAAAATGAAGTACTTCGGGGTGCATTGACTCAGACTAACGGAGTGATGCTAAAGCTTAGCTAGCAGCTTGGAGCTTAGCAGGCTCAGGGGTCTGCAGTCTCAAGGGTGAAAGAAAGCAGCTCAGCCACCCATCGTGACTCTGAAATTTGCAGACAGCAACCTGGCAGGTTCTGCTAAATATAGCAGATGCGTTCTTAAGGATTGAGTGTCTCGCCAAACAGCTGAGACCCACAGAGAAGCGCTGTATTTGCATATAATACCCACTTCAGCTCAATTTGCTGGCACTCCAGGCTAGTGGAACTCACTGAGGAGAGAATAAAAGGCAAAACTTGACCTTGGTGGTGTATCTCCCTGTTCTTACTTGGTAAGAGTGTCTGTTGGCTGACAAGTTTATGCATTTGGAAAAAGAGTGCTGGCACAAGAGCTCTCTTAACCTTTGCTATAATGAAGGGTAAGAGGAACAAACTGAAACTATTTCTTGGAGGCTCCATATTTCTCTTTTTTTACCCCCCACCTGGATATTTCTCATTTATATTTACATCATTCAGTTACAGGATGCATTCTCATGTATTATCTTTTTTTTTGTTTGTTTTTATTCCAAGAGCAGAGATTTAAAAAGGACTTTGGGTTCATGGAGAGTTGTTTACTTGGGAGATATCCCCAGGCAGCAGGGATTGGATCAAACCACACTAGGCTGGCCTTATCAGGGTAGCTGTTGTGAAGTTACCATTCTATATATGCTAAGAGCATATAGAATACCTTCCAGTGTTGTTTGTCTGAAAGACAAAAGGTAGAAGAATTTATCAAGTGGATCCTGTTTTCCACTGATTTCTAATTACCCCTGGGAACATCAACCCTGCACTTGTAAGCATTGTACTTGGGTGGACGGAGCAGGTTCTCACCTTGTCAGAGAAAGCAGAGGGAAGTCAGCATGAGGGAAGTCTGAGCTCGTGTAATATTGTGCATTGCAGCTGAAATCAGGCTTGGACTAAGGGAATGTGACATAAGGGCACCGAATGTATCTGATACCCTCCATTCCATCTACTACTTATGTCTGCTCATAGTCCACATTAAGTCAAATCATTAGTGCATCTTCAAAGGAACAAGTCTCAAGCT